ACTTTTTGTGCGGCTATTGAAGCACAAAACGCATAAAAATGAGTTTTTCTATTGCACATAAGCCTTTTAATTGTATTGCCTGATTTGATCGTATAAAATAATTGGTCAACGCACGGGCTACCCGTGCGAAGATGCGTTTTTTGCATAGTTCCCCACAGATTTTTGCCCCTAACGGCACTGTTTTCTCCGGCAGGTGCTTCTAGCTAGAAGAATTTCAAACTGGCTGCCAGGACTGTCAGGAACATTCCTTCAAAATTCCAGTCTTCTAGCTTTTCAGGTTCACGAATTAGTAACTTACGCGAAAAAAAAACTTTCACAGGCTCATGCGTTAGACTGACTCATACCCGGGGTCTCAATGAAACTTGGGTTGACGGGAAATATCCTCTTAAAATTACTGTCTTCTAGCTTTTCAAATTCTCGGATTAGTGACTTATCCGAAAAAAATTTTTACGGGCTCGTACGTGGGTACCACGCTTACCCAGGGACTGGGTTTGAGCTCGTTATTACCTACTTGGACGGGGAACATCCCCTTAAGATTTCAGCTTTTGTTGCTTTTCGGGTCCTCGAATTAGCGACTTACCCGTAAAACACTTTTACGGGCTCGTGCATGGGTATCACGCAGGAAAGAGCGCCCATTTTGGGGATTGGGGCCCGCACGTGCACGTAGATTAAGTCCCCAAAGTTTCAGTCCTTTATCTTTTATAGGTCTTGAGATGAAATAATAGATCGACAGGATTGTACACAGGCCATGTGTAAGGTGTTATTTTATGGTGCAAACTGCCCTTATCTTTTAGATGCAGTATGGTGATATTTTTCGATGCAGTCTGTGTTTCATCCCTTGGATGTAAACACACCGGACTGTGCATGCGGGTAGGATTGGGAATCGCCAGCACAGCCTCCTACCCACCATGTACTGAAAGGACATGTAACTAATTTGCTAGAAGGATGAGTGAAAGGAAAAGATAGACAGAGTAAGAAGGAGAAAAAATATTTAATATCATGAAAGAAGTAGGAGTGGAAACTGGGAGAGGAGGAAACTAACATATGATGAGGACAGTGATTCTTTGAAGTTATGAGGAGTCAGCTTTCATGAGAATATCGCACTAACTAGGTATTTAATTCCTAGGTCATCAAGGCAAATGAATTTGCTCAGTATTGATCGGTTGCTGAAGCAAAATCTTAAAACGCAGCGTGCTACCCTAGCAATATCAAACTTTTTTTTTGCCTATAAATGTTTATGAGGCGTCTAGCCCAGTCAAGAAGCCCTTATGAAAGGGTAGAAATGCGCGCATATCGAAGTAGTTGTGATATAATAACGCCATCTTGTATTGCATGGTCCATATTGCTATCAGGATGCCCACCGTAATTAACTGTGAATGGGTTATCTAGGGTCTTATTGTATGTGCTAAAAATACATCTGCCATCTTGGCATAGAATTTGGAGGTCTAAGAAACAGACATGTTGTCCGGAGTAA